ATTTACAAGCCTGTACTTTGTTACTTTTACTTGAGTAAAGAAGTTTAATCAGTACTTCCACTTTTACCAGAGTATTTTTTAACACAAATATCTGTACTTTTACTCAAGTACGGAAAGTGAGTACTTTTGCCATCTCTGCTTAAAGCATATACATTCAAACTCATGCAAGCCATCTTCATATTGATTTGAAAATATTTTTTGCATTACATGATAAAAAATGAGGAACAAAACACACACACAAAGATTATTATGCAGATGAAATAAGGGGAATGCCATCTGAGGGGAGTGAGGTCACAATAAGGCCTGTGTGGTTTACAGAGTTTCCTGCTGCGTGTGGTAAGCACCCACAATGCAAAAGAGAATAACTATCAATTTTGCTTAAGCTATTTTTTTCTCAGAGATGTATTTAAATACAGATATTTCAGACTCCTTTGAATGATTTTAAGATAAAATTTGATAAATTTTGAAAGACTTTCTGGAAGAAGAAAAAAACTCCAGCAAACCTGGGGTCAGTAAATTCTACAAAGATTGTCGGATCTGCTCTGCATTACCAAGACATGTCGGCCTCATTTCCAACTCTCTAAACAATCACAGCAAAAATCAGCTAACTAAAATACCGTGCACACAACAGATGTGGAAATCTGACTTTTACATCAGTGTTGCAAAGTTTTGCAAATAAGGGCGTGGGCTGCTGTTTTTTCTTTAATCAAAAAAAGAAAAAATTAGAAGTTTGAAATTGCAAAAAAAAAAAAATCTTTCAGCAATCGGATTACAAAACAATAAGCTTGCCTGCTTTAGAGTGAAGCTTCTAGGTGGAACCTGCTAAGACACAGGGATGCAGCAGCGTGGGTAGATATAAAAGAAAAAATTATTTTAATTTTAGCAACTTAGAATATAGTGACTGTATTTTTAAGATGTAATCAGTGAGTTGGTGCAGCTCATCTGAGCAACATCAGAGAAACCGGATCTTATCACCCAGTCCCCAAATCAAACAACGCTTACAATTGGTCTCTATTCTTGGCTCTGAATCCTCTTTTTTTTTTTTTTAACAGCTTCAATATGAAGTGATCTACATCAGAGAACATTTTATTAAAAATTCCTTGACTAGTCTGTGAGTTTTTCATACAACCAAAGTTTGGTTTTCCACACCTGCCTTGACAACCAAAACTTTATAAGAAAAGTGGGTCTTATGGCTCTAATAAATAAAATTCATCACCTTAACATCACTATTTGATAAGGGGTCATATTCTTATCCCCATATAAAAACAAATAGAAATATTCAGGTATTAAATTATATATTAGACTAATTGTATAGTAGACAAATAATCAAAACAAACTCAGATAAAAATAAACTGAACATTTTTTATCTTTTTCAGGATGTGAAATGTAGGCCTACATGGTAGTGAAGATCTGGGCAATATAATGGTATAGTATGGATGTATAATTTAGCAAAAGGTGTAAATTAACCAAAAGCCCATGTTTATAAGACCAGAACCAAACAAGAGGAGTCCCTGTTTAGTTGCTCCTCAGCACCATAACATCCCTTCATCCATAAGTTGTCTTTACTTTCTTATTCTTGCCCGTTAGCAGACGGGCTGGTCTCTTTCTTCTACCGATTATTGGACAACAGACAAGGGACGTCCTGGACAGGTCAAAGTCCATCTTAGAGAGACACAGAGGACAATCAATGCACTCATACTGAGGGGGAGTTTAGGAAGACCTGTCATGTTTTCTGGACTATTGAAGAAAGCCAGAGCATCCAGAGACAGGAAGAAAACCCAGGCGTACACAAGGACAATACCTGCTGCACCCCAGGCTGGTGTTACACCATATTCTGTGACCCATCATAAAGTGTGATTCAAGGCCATGCTGTTGCAGATTCTCCATACCAGTCTGCTATTAACTAACCCTAAGGACATAGGGGTCATACCTAAACCTAAGATCACAAAACTAAAACCTAAACCAGGATAAATCTATAGTAAGATGCATGTAGCGACCCTGGGTCAAAGAATAAGGTGAATAACTGGGATTTGAACCCAGCACCCTCTTTCCAAACCTGGAAAAAGTCAAATGCAGCTAATTTTATCAGCTTATTATCTTTCTTAATTGGCTTAATTGGTTTTTCAATGTTTTTTTTTTTTATTTTATTTTGTACTGTGCTTAAATTAAAATGAAGTTTTCAACTTTATTAATCTATACCTCCTGTATTTATCCAGGATGCAACCTGCGTTTTTTTGCAAATATTGAGCAAAAAAGGTGCGATTACATACTATAATTCACTATTTTAGTCCATCTTTGAGTAAAATTATTAAAAACACCTCATGAAAAATCAGTAAACTCTTATTCCCAACCTTTTAAAGGTAGCAATTTATTACAAAATCCATTTTTTTAGAATTGTTATTGCTCTGGCTACTTTTTTTCTTTATATTGTACTCTGCTTAAACTCAAAATGAATCTTTCGACATAATTAATCTATACCTCCTTTATGTATCCAGGATGCAACCTGCTTTGTTTTGCACATCATAGGCAAAAAGGTGTTTATACATACTATAATTTACTATTTTAGTCCATCTTTGAGTAAAATAATTAAAAATACCTCATGAAAAGTTAGTAAACTCTTATTCCCAACCTTTTAAAGGCAGCCATTTGTTTAAAAAAAAACAAATGCGTTTTTAAAATGATTATTGCTCCAGCCACTTTTTTTTTTTATTTTGTACTCTGCTTATATTCAAATTTAGCTTTTAACATAATTAATCTATAACTTCCTTATGTATCCAGGATGCAACCTGTGTTGTTTTGCACATCACGAGCAGAAAGGTGTGAATACATAACATAATTCACTATTTTAGTCCATCTTTAGGTAAAATAATTGAAAACACCTAATGAAAAGTCAGGAAACTCTTATTTCCAACCTTTTAAAGGCAGCAATTTATTACAAAAATCCGTTTTTTAGGATTAGTATTGCTCCAGACACTCAGACCTAATGTTTTTCTTTGTAAACTTACCTGTCCAAAACAAAGTAGAGGTCATAAGCTCCGTGACAGGAGGCTTCCTCTGCCCAGCCAGGCGCTGCAAACAAGCCCAGAAGGGCCAGAGCCACAGCTGCAGCCCACAGCCTCCTTCCTTGAACAACCTTCTCCTCCACAGTGGGACACGCTGAAAACTTTCTCAACATTTTTCCACAGTTCTCCTTCACAGAAAGCCGGAATAGTCGGTCGCATCCAGCGCAGGGTTAAACAAAGAGCAGCTGTTACTTCTTGAGACTCCCCCCCAACAATAAAGTTCAGCGATTGAGCTGCAAAATAAAGGAAACTACCGCGGCGACGTCAGCGCCTGTAGTTTCTACATCTTCCTGACTCACTCCTAACTCATTGACATCCTCGATCAAACTAAAACCCGCAACTGAACAGGTCCCAAAACCGCAAAATCTAAACAAATCTTGCCTAAGAACAAGTTTATCTGCGCTCAAGTTCAGAGTGAGGAGAGAAGTTAGGGTGCATTCACGTTCAACTGAAAAAACCTGTAATAATACCCTTCGTCGACTGTTAGTGGGAAACAGCTTCAGTTACAATATGAATCATTTATGGCTTTTGCTTTCTTTAACATAATAAAGAACATTTCTCACATTCAATTTAATTTCCGGTTTATAATTTAAAAAAATTCGAGTAAATTAACTCTTAAATCCAGCTATCTCTTTTGAAAAAAATAAAAATATTGACATCTACTCTTGTATTACACTTGATACCAGAGTATTTAGATAAATCGATAGGCTTGAAGGTTGAGTGGAAGCAAAAGGTAACCCAGAAATAGATGGAAAAACACAGCTCTTTTAAGAGTTTGGTGATTTGCAGGACTAAACATGTAGATCAAGTCATCATCACAAAAACATATACCATGTCCTGTATGCAGGCCATGTGTTGATGTTTTAGGATTGATTGTAAAGAACTACTCCATAACCTAAGACAATGTCTAAAACCCATCAGATCAAGAAAAGAAAGCCTAGTCTGCTTCTCAGTGGTCCAGAGTCCTACAATAAACCTCTATTTTTTTCCTCCAATATATTTTATTGAATTTTCTCTTTTTATTCAACAAAACTTACAGACAACAAATTTAACCTTTTAACATGTACATATACACCCTTAAATTCACTCATGCATTCACCACTTAAACCTGAATTTGTCTAGTTCCAAAAACATACAAAGCCCTTCGGATTAAGGCAGACTTAAAAAAGAAGAAAAAAGGGGGGGCAATATATGAATAAAAACTGTAGTCAAGACATCCATTCAAAACTACCATCAATAAGCTCCACTTTCAGTCCCTATGATGCTCATATATATGGCTCCCATAGATTATCAAAGTCCTGTTGTTTACTCTTGGCAATGCATGTTACAGTAGTTTTCCAGTCCGAGTGACCCTGCAACTTCTTTCCTCCAGAGTCCCATGTAGGGGGGCCTCCATGCTCCTCCAGCATAGTAGAAATAGATCTTCTAGCTTGAAGAAATCTGTGGTCTATCAATGTAGTTTTCTTCCGCGATTGTTTAAATTCTATTGGATATATTCCTAGAACACAGATTTTAACCTCTAATGGGACTTTTACTTTAAGCAGTTCAGATAGACGCCTAATAACATCCTTTCAAAACTTCTGGACTTTAGGACATTCTAACAAACAATGGAGAAGAGTTCCTTTTTCAGATAAACATTTAGTGCAATATAAACTACTAATTTAATTGGAAATAAGGCACAGAATCAAAGTCGTTTCAAGTCTTATTGTTAAGTTTCCGCAATCGCTGATGATTTCTAGAATATATCAACTTTGATAAAACTTTTTGAGTTTATCTAAAATATTAAATTAGCCGAACATAAGTAATATAAAACAGTCACTCTGGTCTTATACATTCTTACAAATCTCAGTCTGCTCTTAAAATGAGTCATTTCCTAAACACACCTAAATCAGGAAGTACTTTATGACTATAGATCACCTGCTTAGCTTAACGCCCTCTGCAACTGTACATTTATGAAATATCCACAGGTTCTTAAATATTTCACAGTGTTTAGGTATTTGAAGGGGAAATCCGAATGCTTTTTTCTTTTTTTTCAAATTCACTTTGATTTACAGATTTCCGAAAGCACACAAAGGCCTCATGAGCTGGTGCGCATGCCCCAGTGGAGCTGTTATGCAGCTCCCAGTGAAGAGTGCGTGCTTAGCGACATCTGGATGAACTTAACAGTCAGGCAAATTTGAAATGAAATACAGCAATAATGATATAAATATTTATTATTTCCTTTCATTTCCAAAATGTAAAGTTCACATATTGCCTGTTAGATCTTGAAAACTGCTTACATAACTGTAAATTATTTTTGGTTAAATGTAAGTATCTAGAAAAAACAAGCAGATAAAAAGTTTTATCAGAGGCTAAATTTGCACATAAAAAAACAAAAAAAGATTGAAAAAAAGACTTAATTTGTTTTGTACCTAAAAGCACATGTTATTAGTTAGTAATTGGCTTAAAAACAACAGAGCATCCATTTGAGCAGCAGAGATCAACATGCAATGGGGGATTTTGTTTTTTTCCATTTCCTATTTCTAAAGCCTTCTCATGCTAAAATTCAACTCACAAAAGACATGGGAACCTGTATTTACAGTTTTTCTCACCATGTCGTCACAAGGTTTGCTGTGTAAATGGGCTTACACAGACCCTATGACACCATTTATTGCAAATGGTGTGAACACGTGGCAGATAGGAACTGTTTAGACCTACAGAGGAAGCAGTTGCTGCAGCAAAAAGGACAGCTTTTGTAATAGAGACAGGAAGAGAATCCAGATGTGAAGCCTGTCATGTTTGAAGTGGAAACGATGGTGTAGGAAGATGTATCGAGTTTGCACATGCGTTATCTACAGTATTTGTATATATTTGTGTGTCTTCCTTTTTTTTTTTTTGATAAATAGTGAATATCTTCCAACACATTCCAACTTTAGATGGTGCTAACAACAACAGCTACCACAACAAAACAGAAGAAATAAGTTATGACTAAAAACTTTTCCAGTCATGCAAAAATTTTTCTGGACTTAACAGTGAATAATTGTTGAATGGAAACTCACATTTTAGGTTTTTACACAGCAACTGATCAGTTATGGAATAATTAACATCAAGAGACTTTATTAGCGTTAAAATATTATTTTAAAACTATTGCCTGGCTTGCTAATTTACTCTATAGTTTTACCCCATCCTGGGTCACTAATGAAAGTGGCCAGAGAAGGTACCTTAAGGAACTCCGCATGTGATCTGTGTTTTCTCAGCTGCCAAAAGACATGAAGCATTTCCAGGTTTCTGAGTAATAAATTGTAAAGTATAAAAGACATCAGCTACATTTACTCTATCAATGGTCTTGTTTTAGCGAAACGTATAAAGAAAAGCATGCAGCCAAACAACTTTTTGCTTTAGAAAGGTCTCAGGTGTAGAAAACCCTCGCTAAAAATACACTAAAAAAAATAATGCAACCATTCTCGGTATCTACTTAATCATATTTAGTTACTTTAACACATTGTTTTAATGTTAGCATGGCAGGAAATAAAACAATTATGTTAAAGGAGCTAAATATGATTAAGTAGATACCAAAAATGGTTGCATTATTTTTTTAGTGCATTACAACTAAGAACATTTGTCTGTGTCATCAAAAACTTCAAGAAGAGAGGTTTGACTGTAGGAAAACACATTCTAGGATGTCAAAAGTCTGCAACACTGAGAAGAATTGTGCGTTAAAATAGTGGCACATAAAACAATTCATTGAAAAAAGTATAGAAATAAATAAAATACAAGAATGGGGATTTTTGTTGAAACTTTTTTTCCTTTATTGGCGATTATTATAACTATTGTAAGGTAAAAAAAAAAAAAGATATGTGTAACCTGAGAAGATTAATTCTAAATGTATGATTTTAAACTCAAATGTTCAGACATTTCTGCTGCTATAGCTCCAAACCATTCACGACCTTAAAGACATGCAGAGCTGCTGAGCAAAACTTATTTGTTTTAGTCAGAACTTTTTTACTACTTTTAAATAGATTATGATTCCCTTCCCTTTTTAGGTGGATTATCCCTGATTCCTTCCAAGTTTTAAAAATCTTGACAATGTTGATTTTAATTAATTTAATTAAATTACTGAAATGAATCTACTTTGGATGATACTTTGATTTGTTGAGCTCTGCGAATCCATTTTTTTAAATGTTCTGCACACATTACAAAGCTGCAGGTGCCTTCATTATCATTCTGGTTGCTTTAAATCCCTAAACCTGGACGATAATCTGCAGTGGGAACCAAGCCCTTCAGTGCGGCACTAGAACCATAGAGCTGCAAGCAGAAAAAAAAAAGCTATGCTCCACCCATGGAGCTCGCTACATAGCTCCATCTAATCAAATGCAATGGGAGGAACATGTGGCAAAGTAGCATTCCAAAAGCATAAAACCACAGACAGATAATGCAAATGTTTTCACAGTTGTATCTATTGACTTGAGATGAGTAATTTAATTTCATCACTCCTGTCACCTCAGTAAACACGCCCACAGGTTTAAAAGGATATATTTCGTTAGGTGGTGCTTTCCAGAGCATACAGGAAATTCCAGGTTTCCTTGTCTAATCAGTCATACTACTTGTTTGAACAGAGCATGTGTTGCTAGCAGAAGACGTGACTCCAGGCTGTAAAATTTAGGAAGAACCCTTACATGATATCTGACACTGCATTTTACCTGGATCACCTGCATTTCTCCTGTTTGCAATGAAATAAAGTTAAAAAAAAAGTGATATTTGCAGAATTTTTTCTGTTTCACACAACATGCTACATGTGTCATTGTTGGCCTCAAAGTTAAAGCCAGTGTGCCAATGTTTTTCTTTACTGAAACAATCATAATTGTTTAAGAGAAAAATCTTTGTTTGAGCAGCTGAGACTAGTTTTATTATGCTCAAACAGTTCAGTGTCAACAGACAGACATATAAATAAACAAAGCAAAAAAACAAACTCTGATATTTTCACACACACAATCTTTAAATTTAATCACCATGAAAACACAACCTTTGGACATTGGGAATTATGTTCCAAGCAAAAGTGTAAGTACTTGGAATCAATTCATAGGTAGGAATCAGAAACAGTATCAATTATCAGCTATTTGAGGCGTCCTACTTTCCCAAAGTGCTGCAAAATCTTCTGAGAAATCATTAAAATAATTTATCTACACCTCAAAGTAATTTAAACCTTGAATGTTGACATGGTAGCACCTACATCCATCATTGATCAATTTATCAAAATGATTAAGGCTACACCAAAGCATTTGAAACCTTTGGAATGCTTTTAACATTTGCTTGCCTATCCCAGTATACTAAAATAAGGATGAAAAGACCAATATAAGAGCAGCGTATTCGAGTAGAAAATAAACATTTTAAAAGCCCTAATCCAAAAACAAAATGATTTTAAAAGCTCATGGTTTTTGTGAAGTTT